TATTTTATAAGAATAGGCCTTTTCCATTTTGGGGAAAGGCAGTTAATAAATCTTAAACAAGATTGTAAAATCCTGATCCTTCTGGGTGGCTGTTATATTGGGGTCACAATGACAACCTCTTTGGACTTTACTTAGTGTTTCTGGACCTTGCCAATTTACGAATATTTCAAGGAATCTTTAACATATCTGTCTATCTATCTATCTATCTATCTATCTATCTATCTATCTATCTATCTAACTATCTGGTCAGTGCCTCCTTACACAATAAAATGGTTAGACAAGGACCAATACAAAGTAGACTTACAAAAGGTTGAAGCTTGGGAAACAAGTCCATCCTTTCAATGGTGCTTTTATAAGGTGTCATTTAGCAAATGGACTGTGAAGAATTAGTCATGGCAAACTCCTTTACCATCCAATGCTTGAGTATGGACTCAACAGCCCAGAAGAAAATTTTTAGACTTTGAAAACTTCAATTTTTCACTTCAGAGCTCAATTAAAATCAAGTGTGATAGCAAAGAGGACCCCCAAATTCTAACTTGACCTGTTTGTACCTTTTAGAGACACAGATTCAAAACAGAAATTACAAACCATTATTAACTCTTTCATGCCTCTCAGGGATATTTTGAAGAAATATAATACTTGAAAACATTGTAAGAAACACAGTATTGCTGAAGGTATGGCTCAAGTGGTAGAGTGCCTGTCTAGCCCGAGTTCAAACCCCAGTACTGAAAAAAAAAAAAAGGAACACAATATTTCTATGTCCTAAATTAAATAAAGACATAATATTAGAGCATTATTCCATTGGTGAAATCACATTATCATCCTTCTTTCTATCATTAAAATGGAAAGTCCCAACATATTGTCTATAGGAAGACTGACTCTTTGTCTAGCTTGCTAAAAGTCCTGGGTGCCCCATGTACCCTCCTCTCATGGCTTTTCAGTAGTTACCTAGCTTTAAGTCCTGACCCTCAGCTTTCCTAGACTATCTCAGATGACTTTTTTTTTTTTTTCTGGATTCCATGTCCTTGCATTTTCTTATAATACTTTTCTCTTTATAGGTTTATTCTTTTTTGATCTCTTCATCTTTTTTCTTTCACCTAGATCATTTCCCTTCATCTTTATCAGTGGCTTGGAATACAGTTGACCTCCACATATCTGCTGTAAAGACTGAAATTATGAAGCATGTCATAGCCTGGAGGAATTAAAAACTGTACTAACACAGGCTAGGGGACTCAAGTTGAATGGTCACTGCCTGTACCATAAACAGATTTCCCAGCCAGATGTGGTAGTATACATGTATAATCCCAGCTACTCAGAGGTGGAGACAAGAGAATCATGAGTTCCAAGCCAGCAGGGATAAAAAGGTATCCAGACAGGCTGAGGCATGGCTCAAGCAGTAGGGCACCTGCCTAGCAAGTACAAAGCCCCGAGTTCAAACCTCGGTGCCGCCAAAAAGAACAAGAAGAAGAAAAAAAAAGGCATACATACTCTACCTTAAAAATGAAAATGAAAACAAAAGGACTGAGGGCATGGTTCAAGTGGTAGAGTGTTTGCCTAGCATATTCCATATTCAAGACCCTGGGTTTAATACTCACTTACACGGGGTAGCTATGTTTGCAATCAGTTTTCTACCTTGTGACAATCAACAATTATTGTTGTAGCTATGTTTGCAATCAGTTTTCTACCTTGTGACAATCAACAATTATTGAGCCTCTAGTGTACATGATAAGGTAAAAAAAAATTTTATATATATTTTTTGTTAGCCTGCTAGCTTCAGGGCTCCTATAGACTGGCCAGTGCCTATCTCTCTAAACTTATCTCCCTAGAACCTGCCTTTATAGATTCTGCTCTATCTAGAATGGTTTATTTGCTTACTTTGCTTATGTCTATCTACATCAGCTAAAGCCATTCTCTTTCTTTATTCCTATTCCCCCAAATCGAAAACACTGGAAGATACCCTTCTCTGCTAATATAATTACTAGCCTAAAAGACATGCTTGTCCCTTGTCTATGAACAACTTATCCTTAAATTCTGACTTGTCTGGCAGTTACTAATATCCTCCTTAACGTAATGTACTGAGCAGAACATTATGAAATGGTTTAGCATGTGCCTTTGAAGGCAGCAAATTGGTTTTTGTCATAAATCCATGATTTCTAGCTTTCTATGATGTAAAACATTGCTCAATCTCATCCAGTCTGTTTCCTCATCTATAAAGTGTAGATAATGATAGCAACCCATCTCACATGGCCAATGTGGGGACTGAATGATAATATATGTAAAAGTACCTAACAATGTCTGCTGGCACAGAGTAGCAATCAACATTAATTATTATTATTTACCTGTAGTATTTTTAACCTCTTTATGTATAGATTATGTTCCCATCACTAGTGGAAGAATTACTATATATCATTACCTATTATATGACAAGTACTGTGCTAGGTGCTTTCACTTATGTTATCTAGTTTCCCCAATAATCTTGATGTTAAAGTGATTTGTCCTAGAAGCCTTATATAGGAATTAGTGGGGCCAAGATTTTAAAATTTTTCTTGTGGTAGGGGCCTTAGCCATGAATCTAGGATGGGTAAGGAAAAGATACTTTTCCTCTCCTACAGAATTCAAAATTTTCACAGAAGGAGAAACTTCTTGTTTTTCTTACAAGGCCAACTATATATTGGGTACAAACCAAGTTCATTCATTTAATGGGCTTATTATCATAAATCAGTGGAATAGGACTTATGGCCTTATTCAGTTTATGCTATTGTTTATTATGGGCTGATAATTACAGTGTTTTTGTTTGTTTGTTTGTTTTTGCAATGCTAGGGTTTGAACTCAGGGTCTACACCTTGAGCCACTCTACCTGCCCTTTTTTGTGATGGGTTTTTTGAGATAGTGTCTCATGAACTATTTGCCCAAGCTGGCTTGAACCTCAGTCCTCCTGATCTCTACCTCCTGAGAGGATTACAGGTGTGAGCCACCAGCTCTGGCTCTTTTCTTTCTTTTCACACATATTAGGCAAGCATTCTACCACTGAGCTACATCCCCAGCCTTCTTTTTCACTCAGAAGACTCTACTAAATCCCTTTTCACTCACCATATTATTAAAAGAACTAATGCCCTTATTTACACTTAACCACTACTTGCACTTGAATAGCTACTTGAAAAACAACTTTGCCATTAATTTTATTTTTTATTTTTGGCAGTACTGAACTCAGGGTCTTGCACTTGCTAGGCAGGTGCTCTACCACTTGAGCCATGCTTTTTATTTATTTTTCAGGTAGGGCCACAAGTTTTTGCCCTGGGCAACTCAGAAGTCAAACCTCCTACCTATGGCTTCCTGTGTAGCTGGGATCACAGGGGCATCTTACCTGCTTGTTGGTTGTTGGTTGTTGGTTGAGATGGATTCTCGATGACCTTGTGTGGCGAGTGAGGGAGGGGGTTTGGAGTGGCCTTGAACCAAAACCCTCCAGATCCCTACTTCCTAAGTAGCTGAGATTACAGACATGTGCCACAATACACTGCACTTGCCCATTAATTTTAAACCATCTAGTCCAACTCCTTGATTTATAGTTGAAGCAAACAAGGCAGGGGGTGGCTAAGAGACATGCCCAAGGTCACAAATCAAGCTTACAGTTGAACCTCAATTAGATCCTGGTTTCTGGCTCACATCCAGAATGCCACTCATATGCTAGGAGCCCCTGGACAAGAAGCATTGAAAAGGTTGTTGCATAAGCAGTTTAAAACTTCTACCTGCAGTTTTATTTGTGGTGTTAATTTAATACCAATCTTTAAAAAAGTATATAATTAAGCTTCCTTCAGCACAAAATTCAAATTAGTGAAATTGAGCCGTGAAACTATACATCAAGAACATCTACCTCTTGCTATTTTATATACTGTAAGTTTCTAGGATGCAGAAGTAACTTATTCTTTCTGTATGGCAATTGTTATGAGATGTCATATGAAGGCTAAAACTGTAAGAATAGAGAAACTTAGAGGCTCAGAATAGAATTTGAGAGAACTGAAAAATTTTTTTTGAATGTTTAATACAGTCTAATTGAACTCTCTTCTTAGTTGTATTAAAAGATTTTGAAACCCAAAAAGTGATTTGCATAGCATTATGGTGAAATCTATGGCAAAATCATCAGTATTTTTCCCTCAATATTAAACTGCTTCCCTGATTTTTTTGTATATTAAATTGTATTAATGAAATTGTAGGAAAATCATTTTGGAAAAGTGCAAGACAATTTTCAGGGAACTAAATATTACTTTGCACCCTCTTTGGAACATGAACCCCATTATTATCTGGACAACTTCATTTCATACGCAAATTTTCTTGGCTTTTGATAGCCCTATGTGTTATTGGTAGAATTTTTTCTTTTTTCACCAGAAACATCAGAATTCAGAAACACAGAAGTAATAGAATTTATCTCAGCTAAATAGAAACTTTGAGGAATAACCCCAGATTATCATATGTTCTAAAGTGACCTCAATATTTTAGCAGCTCTTGGACAGAAATGGGCTTGGATCATCCTCCAAAAGAATCAACAGTTCTTTCTTTTCCAGAAAATTTAAAACAATTTTTTTCTAATATCTTAGCCATAGAGGTAACAAGAAATGTCTGGCTGTTTTAACAATATTTAAAATTTAACAATATTTAACAATTTTTTTTTTCTCACTGCTTTCTTAAGGTTGTGGTGATGGGTGTAAGTATACTTATTTGGAAGCTTAAGATTTGAAAGAAATTTTTTTTTATTGTTTCTATTATTGCTTTTTCATTTTCCCCAGTTTTTGCCAGTTTTTTTTTCTGTTGCATCCATGCTATATAACCTGGTTTAAAGAAATCAGGTTGAGAACAATTATATGACAGAATGGGGAAATGCATCCATAACTTCAGGCCCAGCCATGTCCTTCAAATTCTGGAGATTAGAGTCAACCCCAGGACACTGGTGAGAGTGGGAAACTCTTGGAAGGGTGAGGACTGAGAGGATACCAGGGGCCTAAAAGACCTTATGAAGCTCCCTGCCAAGCTGGCCTGGGATTAACCCATCATTTCCCAGCCAGAGCTATCCCAGTTGCCTGGCTTTCCTGGGGCCTCTCATGTTAATCTATGGAATTGACCAACTGAGTTTGACCATGACTGGCTTTGTTTTGCAAAACAAAATTGGTAAGGCAGGCCTCATGCTGACTGACTGAATGGTGTCATCAACTCAATTCAAGGGGTGCTACAAAAGCAAGGAAATGAAACTTCAATTTCCTCCTCATGTTAAATGTACCTTATCATACTGATTATGACCCTTATGCAGTTCAGGGCAAAGTATTTTATTGCTTTTTTTGTGAACAGCAATAAACCACTTTCTTCTTTCACTTTTTCCTCTAGTGCCCACCCCCCACCCCACATCTGACTGATTAAGGCTCATTGGAAAGGTCTGTTCTCTGTTGTCAACAGTAGAGAACCAAAAGCCTCCTTTTTGCCCCTACCAACCTGCCATGATTTTACCTATATCCTAACAAGCACAGATTTGTCTAAAACAAAAGTACAGGCTGGTGTCTGTGGTTCACCCATAATCCTAGCTACTTGGGAGGCTGAGATCAGGAAGATTTCAGTTTGAGGTCAGTCCAGGCAAATAGTTCGAGTGAGCCCATCTCCAAAATAACCAGAGCAAAATGGATTGGAGATGTAGGTCAAGCAGGAACATAGAAATAAAGGAAGAAAACCATTCTGGCTTCAGAGCAGCCTCTCTCACCATGTGGATGAGCTTTATTGAGTTCCCACTGCCCCTGTTCCATTCGAATGTATATCACATGACATTGATATGGGCAAAGGTGTGCTCTCCTTCTTGGTTGGAACTATGTGCCTTCATCTTTATATAGCTAGCAGGAACCTAGTATAGACCCCGGCCCATAGAATGCACCCTGTGAATGAATAAGTTGATGGGGAGTTCCCCACAGAGGTTACTCATTTATTTACCTACCTGCCAGTGAATCTGTAACAAACTACTCCCAGAATTACATAGCGCTACACTTGCACAGCTTCCTCACAGACATGTGTGGACATCAAATGGGAAAGATGCGGTGTTTCTTAGGACTTGAACATACATCCTCTTCCCTTCACTTCCTACTACTCTTCTTTGGAAATCCCATTTATTCCTATGTCTTCAGAAACTTTATCTATATTGATAGTTTCCAAATTTACATCTCTATCTCAGATTTCTTCCCTAACTTATCAACCAGATATCCCAGACTTAGCCAATTCCCAACTTAATATCTCCATTTGAATGTCTCAGAAAAATTTAAACATTAACATGCTTAAAATGGAACTCTCCATTCCTATCATCCCATTAGTCCCAACCTAGCCCTCTCTCACTTTGCCTGTGTCCATAATGGCACCATCTGCCACACAGTTACTGAAGTTAGAAAACAAGGGGTCATCTTAGATTCCTCCCCTTCCCTTCCATCTCTAATTCATCAACAAATTGTTTTATTCTTCCTCTTTTTTATATATTGCTCCATGCCTTCTCTCCTTACCCTAGTCTAAGCCACCATCAGCTCTTGCCTGGACTAATACAAACACCACCTTCTTATCTTCAGACTTCCTTCCGCTCTTGCTCCTTTCCTGCCCATTTTTCATTTATCAGCCAATATGAGGGATTTTGGTTTTTTTGTTTCAATAAATAAGATCCTATTGCCACCCTCCTTAAAACCTTTTAATGGCTTCCCTTTTCTCTAAAACAAAATTCAGACTTTTTGCTGTGGCCTACTGGATCCTGCATGATGATCTGGCCTCTGCCTACTACTTTAAGTTCATCTCATGTCACCACACAGAAACCATGCTCTAGTCACATCAAACGTTGATTAGGTCTCAGAATCTTCCTAGCTCTTTTCTACTTTGGGTATAACCACTTGTTAATGTTTCTTGCAACTCTTATAGCTGGTTCATCCTTTGGGTATTAACTTACTTTTTCTTAATTCCTGCTCAGCTGATTGGTTCTGAGAATAGTACATCCCCAAGAGCAGAAGGCCTAAGGGTTGCTTGAACTTTGGGTCAGGAGGCCTGAGATCTACCTTCGCATGACAAATTGCCCTCAATTTGTGGAGGACAGAGGGGTCTCCTACATCTCTGAGATTCTATGAACTGTATATTCCTACTACCATAGGGAAAAATCAGTTTGTGTTAGGAGAACACTAATCACCCACCACATGTAAAATGTTCTTAGAGACTTACAAAGGCTCAAAGTGAATAACACAGTCTTATCTCCAAGGAAAAAACATGTCAGCCCTATTGTTGAGATATAAAAAAATACATAGCATCTAAGTAGCATAGGCAATGATTCACAGATTCTACCAAATAAATTAAAGACCATGTCAAGGAGCACATAAACCTTAAAGAAGTGTTTAGAGTTGAGGAGGCAGGACAAAGGCATTTTGGGGAGACAGAGGATCTCAACTAGGATACAGAAGTCAAACAGCAATGGTGTATGCAAGGAATTATCATAAGTTGGTCCAGCTGGAGTTGAGAAAGTCAGCAATAAAATTGGAAAAGCAAGTTAAGAGCGATTACCTCTGGGAAGGGCAGTTGGCTGGCAAAGGAAAGGAGTGAAGGTGATTATATACATACACACATATATAAATAACATAGTATATATAAATAAATGTGTGGGTTTTTTGTTGTTTGTTTGCTTTGCAGTGCTGGGGATTGAACCCAGATCCTTGTACATGCTAGGCAAACACTCTGCCACTGAGCTAGCAACAATCCCAGCCTACACTTCTATATTATTTGAATTTTTTTGGGGGGGGGTGTTGTTTTGTTTTGTTTTTTGAGACAGGGTCTTGTTAAGTAGCTGGCCTAGAATTCACAATATAGTCTAGGCTGGCTCTGAACTCAAAATCCTACTGCCTCAGCCCCAAGTGCCACCATGACCATCTATGTCATTTGAAATTTTATGAGAATATATTCATACATTATTCATAGAAAAATTGTAGGTCATTGTCATGTTTATGAGACTCAAAATGCCAGGACAAAGAATTAGAATTTTCCTCTAGGACATTCCAAGTTTTTGTTTTGTTTTTAAATCAGGTAGATGATGAATTGAATGGAATATATCAGTATGGTAAGTATGGTAGCAGTGTGTTAGATGGAGAGTTGAAAGAAAGGATATCAGTCACTGGATTGGTGCAAAATTCAGACACAGGATACAACCAGAGTGGATACAGAGGTATTAGTCAGCAGGGGATAGGTCTGGAGGACAAACCAAAGGAAGATGACTAAATATGGAAAGTTGAGCAGAGTGAGGATTCAGGGATGACTCAGAGGAGTATGCTTCAGTCAGTCAAAATTTCATTAGACCATTGATGGAAACAAATCATAACAGAAAGTCAATTCTGACATCTACGTAGAAATGGTTTTTCAATCTCCAATGCCTAGAGCTTGAATGTGATGGTGATTTTGAGTCATCAGCAGGGAAATAAAACTAAAATTTGAGAACATCAGGTAAGTTTTCCACAGTGAGAACAGAGAAGAAAGTGGGCCCCAACCTGAGTCTTAGGGAATGTTCATAATAGGGGTCAAGGAGAAGGGTAACCCCAAAAGAATTGTCAGGAACTATCTTAGTCCATTTTCTGTTGCTGTAACAGAATATTTGAGACTGGGTAATTTATAAAGGAAGAAGTTTATTTAGCTCATGGTTCTGGAGGCTGGAAGTCCAAGATTGAGCAGCTGGATTTGATGAAGGCCTCATGCTGTCATAATATGGCAAAGAAGTAGAAGGGTAAATGAAAATGGGCACAAACAGAGTTGACAAAATACAAGATACAGCCTCTTTTACAAGAACCCATTCTCTCAGTAATTAATCCAGACCTGCAAGAGTAAGAACTCACTCCCGTGAGAAAGTTATTAATCATTCTTAATGACCTAACCAATCTCCTAATACCACCATAATAGCAATCACATTTTAACATGAGTTCAGAGGAGACAAGCTATATTCAAACCACAGCAGAAAGGCAGGAGGATTTTGAATCCAGCGATCATTGGCAAATTTAGAGAAGATCATTTCTGTGGGATAGATAGAAGGGGACATAGAAGACAAGAATTAACTCTGGATGAGGAGATCAGAGTTCTTATTATAGGTCCTATAATTAAGAGTGGTGAAGCTAAAGGTGTGGCTCAAGGGCCTATCAAGTGCAGGGCCCTGAGTTCAACTCCCAGTACTGCAAAAAAAAAAAAAAGTGTAAAAGAAATAGAATATGAGTTTGAAAGACAACAGTGTCTAGGAGAACTATTCTTTTTATTCTTTCTCCTTACTGTGAGTCCCTGGAGTATCTAAGGAGATCTCCAACATCAGGAGAGAGTGGTGTAAATTCAGGAGACTTTCTGGAGGGGAGAGCCCTGAGGGGGCAGGTGGGACAAAACAATGGTTAAAGTGACCCTGGGTTAGAAAATGTCAAAGTAGCCTTGATGGGTTGCCAGAGGGGTGAAGAAGTGTCCAGTGGTAGTAAAGCTACTGAACACAGTCCAACCTGAATACACAAGTGAGCAAAATCAGAAGGAGGATAAAATATTAGCTGATAAATTTTACCAAATGCTGAGGATGTAACAACAGCTTTTCATGAACACAATAGTGAGTTACCATTTATTGGAAGAATAGGATAGGCTGACGGTGAGTACACCAGAAAGGAGACAGGTTTTAGAGCAGACTAAACTCATAGTGAAGCAGAGAAGGCAGAGGTCTGGGGGTGCTTGGACTTGGGTCATATCCAAGTCTCAAAGGAGGGAGAACAATGTCCTGTCAGTTTCTTGTTCTTGTCCCCATACCACTGCAAGCCCTCAGAACTGGAAGACCTCAATGATTAAACCACTCTGTTTTGTCAATCCCATGTAAGGAACTGGCAAGACTATTTGATTGGGATGGAAAGAGTTAGAAATGAACTTCAGCTATTGAGAAATGCCAAGTGGGGCGGTCCAAGCTCCGTGATGGCTGGGTGCTGGTAGCTCACACTTGTAATCCTAATAATCCTAGCTACTCAGGAGGCAAAGATCAGAAGGCTCAGGTTCAAAGCCAGCCCTGGGCAAATAGTTCAAAAGACCCTGTCTTGAAAAGAAGCCATCAT